TCCCATCCAGAAGGAGAGTTAAAGGACAGAAATTTAGCAAGGAATCTGATGGTTTGGAGCTGAGCCAAGAGAGAAGGTTGAAGAACGCACATCAACCCTGCTGGGGTGAGCTGAGACCCCAAAGATACAAACAAAAGGTACTAAATCCATCGCCAAACAGGTGGGAGTCCCCTCCCCCATGAGAAGGGCTGGCAGTAAACTCCATACATACAAACAAGCAGAGTTCAAACGTCCTCTCATTCCATCCCACAGGAGAGGCCGTCTAAAAACTGGACCACCTACATGTACTAGGGTGCCATGGCACTCTCCTGCCAGGCACAAAACTGTATAAAACTGTATATATTCTCTACCTGCAACTCTGAACTCCCAGTACTCCCCTCCACTCTCACCCCGAGGTCTGGAAGCCTGTCCCCCGTGGAATCCAGATTCTTGGGCATTTTCTTGAGAGGTGTGGACAGGGGAAGGGCCCTTGCTTGTCTGTGCTGATTCTGTGGCACAGGAGTAAGGAGGAGACGGTCAGCTGAGAGAGAACCATACAGGAGCGGTGGCACTGCCCCCAGGTGCAGAACAGCAGCAATGGCAGGAACAATAAGGCTCATGCCCCTGGGGGTATCCCACCACACACAGGCCCTGTCTCTCTGGGCAACCAGAGGAAGCCAGGCACCTTCTCTGGTGGCAGCCACTGGTGGACAGATCTGTGACCTGAGTAAAGGGAGTGTGGGGACTAGAATATGCAAATGCAGAGCCAGCAGACTCCCAGGGTGGGGCTGAGCCAGAGGACTGCTTTACTGAGGCTAAGACCCACATGGCCTTCAGGGGATCGTAGCTGAGACAAAGGCAGGTAGGCAGAGGCTGGAACTGACAGCTCAGTGTGAGCTCTAACTGCTTGCTTCTGCTGGGAACTGAGTCGTGGTTTCTGTCGTGGGCAGAAACAAACTCTGTGAAGTTGTGCTGTTCTACCAACAACATCAATCAGGGGCAGGGCTGGAACTGAGTGAACTGCCCCAGCCTCCACTAAGCAACTGAGGTTCTCAGGCCTCATCTCCCCCTGCCGGATAGTGGTCAAGAACAGCGGCCTGGCTGAGGAGACATAGATCTCCCTCTGACTCAGGCAGGTACAAACCCCTGGGACATCAGTTCATTGGGGGGAACTGAGTCACAGCCCTGTGGAGTTAGCAGTGACTGGGTGTGACAGAGGTGCAAGGTGAAGAAGGAGGCATCAACTTTCCCAGACTAATTTATTTGCTGGGTTGGTCCTTCTGACCTCATGGAGCACTGGAGCCTATCATACTTGAGCTGCCAGCAGACCCCTGCTATCTAGTTGCCAGAGACCTTTTGAACTCCCCCACCTGAGAACAGTGCTGACTAGGACAATTGATTTGGGCCTCTAGAACTGTGCCAATCACTGAGGATTATCCAAAGTGGTACCCTGGGTGTGTGGTTATGAGAAGATGTAATTTTCCTTTTTTAATTGTTGCCTGTGGGGGGCGGGGTGACTTAATTGCTAGTATTTCTCCACAGCTGAGACTTCAACCCAGAGTAACTGATTTACCAGGGCAGAACAGAGACCAGCTGAAAACAAGACAGAGACATTCATCCCCACCAAACCAAGGAGGCCCCCAGTTTCTCAGGCCATAGCACTGTACGGGTTCTTGGCAAAGCTCCAGGGGAAAAGGTACAGACACCAGTCCCAGCCTTAAGGCAAAGGGTTAGTTAATCACTACTCCTAGAGCCCCCAACCCAACTTCTCCTTATCTGCTCATCTAGCCAAATGGTGTAAATTAAGCATGGGGCAGAATCAGCAGAAAAACTCCAGTAACATGAATAACCAGAGTAGATCAAACTCCCCCTCCCCCCCAAGGAAGGATATGGCAGATGCAACTGAAGTTCCCATCCATAAACAGATGGCTGAGATGTCAGAAATTGAGTTCAGAGTCTGGATAGCAAATAAGATCAACAGAATGGAGGAAAGGAGGAAATCAGAATTTCAAGAAATTATTCAATAGATGTCTCAGGAATTCAATGATTTCAAAGATAAAATGACCAAAGATTTTGACACATTGAGGCAAGAGCTTACAGCCCTCAAAGATCTGAAAAATATGGTAGAACCGCTCGGTAAAAGAATGAAGCAGGCAGAAGAAAGGATCTCTGACATTGAAGATAAAGCTTTTGAACATACCCAAGCGCTCAAAGAGGAAGAGAAATGACTAGCAAAAAAGGATCTGGCCTGCAGACTCCTGATATCTCACACATGCGGCTAACTGTGCAGGGTCACACTGGACTGCAGACTCCTGAAGTCTCCACCATGCAGCTAACTGTGCCCATCACACTGGGCTGCAGACCCCTGAAGTCTCACTCATGCAGCTAATTATGCCCATCACACTGGGCTGCAGACTGCTGACGTCTCACACATGCAGCTAACTGTCAGGGTTACACTGGACTATAGACTCCTGAAGTCTCCACTGTGCACTTAACTATGGCTGGTCACACTGGACTGCAGATTCCTGAAGTCGCATTTGTGCTGCAAACTGTGCACGGTCACACTGGGCTGCAGACTCCTGAAGTCTCACTCGTGCACCTAACTGTGTCCAGTCTCAATGGACTGTAGACTCCTGAAGTCTCACTCGTGCTGCTAACTGTGCAGGGTCACACTGGACAACAGACTCCTGAAGTCTCACACATGCAGCTAACTGTGACTGGTCACACTGGGCTGCAGACTCCTGAAGTCTCACACATGCAGCTAACTGTGCAGGGTCACACTGGGCAACAGACTCCTGAAGTCTCACTCATGCAGCTAACTGTCAGGGTCACATTGGGCTGCAGACTCCTGAAGTCTCACTCGTGCAGCTAACTGTGCAGGGTCACTGTAGACTGCAGATTCCTAAAGTCTCACACATGCAGCTAACTGTGCAGGGTCACACTGGACAGCAGACTCCTGAAGTCTCACACATGCAGCTAACCGTGACCGGTCACAGTGGACAACAGACTCCTGAAGTCTCACACATGCAGATAACAAGCAGGGTCACACTGGACTGCAGACTCCTGAAGTCTCACACATGCAGCTAACTGTCCCCGGTCACACTGGACAGCAGACTCCTGAAGTCTCACACATGCCCCTAACTGTGCAGGGTCACACTGGGCTGCGGACTCCTGAAATCTCACACATGCAGCTAACTGTGACCGGTCACAGTGGACAACAGGCTCCTGAAGTCTCACACATGCAGATAACAAGCAGGGTCACACTGGACTGCAGACTCCTGAAGTCTCACACATGCAGCTAACTGTGACCGGTCACACTGGACAACAGACTCCTGAAGTTTCGCACATGCAGCTAACTGTGCCCGGTCACACTGGACTGCAGAATCCGGACGTCAGGTGGCACATCTCATTTTCACAGTGTCTGCATCTTTTAAATACTTGGCACTAGCAGATAATATATGTAAATGAACAAACAAATAATTAAGTTTCTAAGATAGAAGCCTTAAAATCAGTAAAAACTTCATTTCATAGACTAAACATTTACTTTGCTATAGAACAGTGGTTCTCAACCTGTGGGTCGTGACCCATAGGAACTGTATTAAAGGGTTGCAGCACTAGGAAGGTTGAGAACCACTGCTCTAGAAGGTCAGTAAGCCCTTCTGCAGAAGGTCCCTGCAAGCCTTTGCCTTCACGTCTAAGGCTGGTTGGAGGCAGATAAAGAAATACGACTGCTTGGAAGCAGTCTAGCTTTTCTGGAAAGCATTTGAGAATGACATCCTGCTGTAACGCTGTGGTGAACTCAGTGCTCTAATGCACTTCCTGAAACAGAAAATGTTAAATCAGTGGAATTATTTACAGACTGTGGACTTGCCCAGAGGGCGACAGACTTTTACTATGGTTTGGTCACCTACCTAGAGTTTCTTACTGAAGGAAATTGTTTCTTAAAAAGACTTTTCTTAAGGAGTCTAGGACATAAAGCTATGTTTTTATGACACATTTAAAT